TATGTCTTTACCAACCGACTTCTCGTAGTCTGCAACGAAATGTTAAGGCTAAGTCTGATTGTTATAAACAATACTACCTATCCAAGCAATATTATACTTACATAAAAATACTTAACACCTCAAAAAAACTGACTCCTATACTTAGAAAAGTCTATGAACCTTGCACGCGTGCTTATTACCTATTTATCACACTACTTTTACTTAAGCTTACCCCTACTGGTAACCGCAAAGCCGCTTACAGGCATTACTGCAAAACACGATTCAGTACTTCGCTTCAGTAGCGTGTCGGCCGCGGACGAGGGTGGTCGCGTACAGTTAGCAGGGAAACTCAACCCTATTGACGAATACGAGAAACTATACGCAACTTTAATTAAAATGGTTTATTCACAATTTTGTGTTAAAAACTAGTGAGGTGTTGATAATAGTGCTGTGGCTTTCGATTGGATTCAAACCAAAGGCTGTTAAAACCTGCTTAAAGTTATAAGGTAAGCCTTTTAACCTATATAATGTAGTTTAACTTAACTCTAACTTGGGTAAGCGATTTCATTCATTTAAAATTGAATTCTAACTTAAAGTTTTTATGGTATAAATTTTGGTGACAATGTCAAAGTTGTGAGTCCTTCGGTTAAATTATAATCTATATATATATATAAAAAATGAAACCCATTTCCCGTTGTCACGCCATAACTTGAGAACGGCTGGACCGACTTGGCAGATTTTTTTTTGGTGTGTTTGTTATTGTCTGGAAAAGATTCATACGTTAGAAAAAAAATCTGGAAGAAAACGGGATTACGCGTACGAAGTCGCGGGCAGAAGCTAGTAATGAATAATAATAGTCAGTTTATTATAGCTGTTAGGTTATTTATGAGGAGTTATTATTAGCCGATGATATATTATTTATTATGTGCTTTTATGGTAGTCATAGCAGCCGTGTTTTAAGTGTCATTAGGGATATATACACGTTTACTGTACAATAGATAGCAATTACAAAATGTAGGTGAACATAATAGAACTAGTAAGTTTGTATATGGGTTGACATAGAATTTTTACCGTAGTACCTTTTTATCACAATTTGATTTGATAACAGTCAACATTTTATTAATCGATCTCAATGCAACATTTTTGTATTGATATGCATACGTTTATTTAAAATACTCTAAAATTACATTTATATAATACTTCTAAAAACCAACAAAAAAGCATGGTCCAAGCTAGCGGTGGTTAGGGCTCTAGACACAGAAAGCTCCTCATGATGCGTGCCGTTTCAAGGAGCACCATCTGTGTGCAAACCTGTAAAACTTACAGTTGCTGATGGATAATCTTGAATAATGATATTGATATTATTACAATAGATATTATTACAATTTACGTGTGGGAGACCCATGCTTCGGCACGAATGGGCCGCCTCGACCGGAGTGATACCACGGCCTCACAGAAAACCGACGTGAATCAACGCTTGCGTTTCGTCGTGTGAGTGAGGTTACCGGAGGCTCAATTACCCTCCCTCCCCAATGTCCCCAATCCCTGAATCCGTAACGATCCTCAAACTCCTAATCCCCAAAAAGCCGGTAACGCACTTGTAACGCCTCTGGTGTTCCAGGTGTCCATGGGCGACGCTGATTACTTACCATTAGGTGGTCCGTCTGCTCGGTTACCAGCTTATGCCATAAAAAAAAGATTTTTAACTGGATGTGGCTATCGCACTGAATTTTTATCAAAAACCTATCTAGGTTTATTAATTAAGACCATTTAATAATATCAGCTACAAACACATATATTCGACTATTAAAAATCATCTATATATTACTAAAACAAAACAGAATCTCCCCTAAAATAAATGTAAAGTTACTTTTTAGCGTCATTCGTATCGATTTTCCATTGTTTTGCCGACACGTGACACGCAAGTTCATAACAATAAAATGCTAAACTTACTACACTGTCTCGCCGCTGGAAGGTCGCGAGTTCAAATCAGGTTGAGGCATAAGGTCACTCAAGTAACTAACTACAGTAGTGATAAGGTAAAAACACTGAAGTTTCTACTTTACTAGTAATTATTTAAGTGTTCAATTAGTTTGGATGGAACAACTTAAATAGTAGGTGTTCTTATAAATTAATGTTAGATTTAGATCGGATCTTATACTTGTGTGATAAACAGTAATAAGTGTGGGAGAGCCATGCTTCAGCACGAATGGGCCGGCTCGACCAGAGTGATACCACGGCCTCACAGAAAATCGACGTGAAACAACGCTTGCGTTGTGTTTCGTCGTGTGAGTGAGGTTACCAGAGGCCCAATTACCCTCCCTAGTCTCCCGAATCCCTGAATCCTCCATAATCCTCAAATTCCCAATTCCCAAAAGGCCGGTAACGCACTTGTAACGCCTTTGTGTTCCAGGTGTCATGGGCGGCGACGATTGCTTACAATCAGGTTGTTCAAGACCAAACTTATTGTTGATGTTAAAAAATATTATTGTTCAAAGTTGTCTCATAGCTCGATAGATGGCGTTGTCGCAATTAAAATCGAGCTATGGTTTCGTTACCAATGAAACTATAAGGTAAAATTGATTTGTAAGACCAAAATATCTAATGCAATACTAATGTCAAATATATAGAACATATACCAGCTTAGATCAGTACACAGAGGCGGTTTTATTTATATTCACCCCATCTTGTGTGCTAGTAGGACAGCAGATCACCTAGTAGCTTAGCTAGGAAACACAGGTGATCCGTCCGACCGATAAAAAAAAAAGATTAAAGTATTTCACTAGTTCATAGATGTTAAATATTTTCAATATATTATAATGCAATCATTATTTATCGTGTGAATTAAATAAGCTAGTCAGAAACACACCCATATATTTTATAATCAAAAAAAGAACATAAATAGGTATGGAAAGTGGCCAGCTTGCCACAGATAACATAAACATACCTATACAATCTTCAGCAACGTCAAAAATAACTTCTGTTCCATTTTCAATTCTATATGTTTATTAAGTAGTATTTTAAGTAAGAGTAACACCGACAATGTGTGCGTCTTAACGTCTTTCGAGTCCAATAGGTAACGGATTGAAGAGATAGGACAAACAAAGCATATGGAAATTCTAAACCTCAACCGTACATATCGGTCAATACATACATTAATTACCAATTTTAATATTCAACCTCTAGATTGATTGCGTTTCTCGAACCTCAGTTGATATATTATAAAAAACCTGTCCCAATAGGGTAATTGGTCCGTCAGTTAGATAATGAAACATATAATGACACATATTTGTCGTATAAGAAAACAATATTTAGATAAAACGGAGTAAAGTTTAGAAATGGGAGGTCGTTATGTCACGCTACCCTATAAAATATCCCGAGCGTACGGCGCGTCGCGTTCCGCGCGCGCCTCAAAGAACCATCAGACCACCACAGATGGGGCCCAATACGGCCGATGCCGATTCGGAGTAGCAGAGAACCGGGAGAACCTAACGGGTAACCGGGGCTCCGACTCGACGTGCAGGAGAAGGAAAGGGGTGGTTTTTACTCAGTAAGAGTCTGACACTCCCTCCCGCCCCACCCAGGCGGGAGCAGTCATTCGATGATTTTCCCCCCTTAAAAAAAACCCTATAAAATATAGTAAATCGTGACGTCGCATAATATTTCAAATTAATATATCGTCGAAAGTATTTCTTTTTTAAGAAACGAATTCATTATGTACGTGTCTATTGTTTTAAAGTAATCTACCAGACGGATATTAAAATAAAATTTAGCATTCCACCATATCCCAAATGTTGGCAGTTTCAAGTAATTAATTTCATCCATAAGTGAACGTAAAGACCTCTTTCCAGAGTCCTCATGGAGAACAATGAACGATTTCCACCATCAATACGAAAATAGCTGAGTAACAGCGTAACAACATCGCTGTAGCAACTCTCTCGAATCAGTGGACCTATTGTCAGCAAATAGTTGGATATTTCGCCATCCATTGAGCGCTCACCATCGATCAGCGCCATTAGGCTGCGGAACGTAGCCATTGTTCGATATCGCAAGATGGAGACTAAACGATATCAACTTAAACGCTAAAGTTCTGTGAATCTGAGCCTAAACGTCTATTGTTTGTTTGTTATGACTTATAGAACATCTGCTTATTTAGTTTTGTTATATTAATTAAACTAGTACTAACTACCTCATTGGCCGAGTTGTCGCCAGTGCGACTGCCGGGCAAGAGGTCCCAGATTCGATTCCCGGGTCGGGCAAAGTATTACTGGGTTTGTAAAAATCTCAGTAGTAGCACGGAGTCTGGAAATGTGCCCAGTATATGGCAATAGGCTCACCCCCTATTACATGGGACTCATAACATAAACAGTGAAAAGTGGGTGTTACATTGTACAGTGGCATTAAGTGCCGTAGTGTGCACCTCTGCCAACCCCCTCGGGGATAAAAGGCGTGATGTTATGTAATTAAACTAGCTATGTGTTGGTAGAAAAGTTTTGTTTGGTATTTAACCCTTTAATGCTGAATTTCAATTTCCTAGTACGTTAGCGGAGATTAAAAAATCCATAATTATTAAGATTGTACCAAGAATGCCAGGAACCCACACTATACACCTCTATTATCAAATTTTACATAAATTATAACTATTTTCAGAAGACGGAATACAATAAAATAACAGCAGCAGTATACTTGCAAGAGCCTCACAACGTAACTAACATTAAAGTGGGTGTTACATAATTTAATATGTTTACCCTTGCCTCCGCCTCCTATTGACACCCGCACCTACTCGGATAACGAAACACAAATAACTAGGTGTAAAATAAAAAGTGACAAAAAATTAACTACCTTACTTTACCCAAGAAAGGTTCAAACATTCATCAAAATACTAAACTATATTGATACACAACCAATATTAAGCTCAAAACAAAATGGCCGCTGATTTTCCCGGTTGAAATATCACGTGAAATATTAGCAATAAGTCGAGTAGACAGCTTTAGATTAGTCTGAGTCTCACCTCGGAGCCAATGAAATCTGATTATCTCTTCTATGTAGGTGAGAAGTAAATAGGTCTGTCCATTAATATCGTTGAGAACTCAATACGGTAGCTAACAACTAGTCAAATTCAATACTTTTTATCAAAACGTCAGAAACGACACTTAACGAAACGAATTTTGTACGAAATATCAACTTATGACGTCATCATACGTTCGCGTCAAATAGCACAGTTATTTCTGAAAAGAAAAAGCTACAATATATCGAAAATTAAGTATCGCCTGATCAATAAATAAACGTGTAATTATTTTTCAATGTTTAATTGGAATAAAAAAAATAATTTTTGGCTCAAGAAACTACTTACCCAATTTTAAAGATTTATAATTAACAATTTAAAGATAAATTTTCCTGTAATAGCGATTGTACCTAATTTGAATTAGTATTTTTAAAAAGAAACTCAACAATTATCATTCGATTTCAACAAGTAAACATGATATTTTTACATTGACTCTCATTT